GAAACATAAACCATGAGGGAGGTCACTCTAATGAAAGAACAACCCCCCCATCCTAAATGTGCGTAATAAACCCTCAAACAGATATGAAAACATGAGCCAACTCCCCCATCAAGTAAACGTAACCTGTAAACAAAAGGGAAACATCCCCCATAAAAAAAGGGGAGGGATCCTAGAGAGGGGAGGACCTGAGCTCTTGCGACCGCGGCCGGAGGCGCCTTGGGGAACACCTAGGCGGAACCCGGGAACCAACTCCAGGCCACAGCCGCAAAGCATAAATGAAAATGAGCACAAAGCAAATCATAATCACTAATTGTTGCAGTTTTAAGATCTCTATTTATTGCTTCATGATAAGTATCTTCTTTTCTGTCATCGGCAGATGAGCGGAAATCCAAAATGAACAAATATATTCTCTTTCGGAAATATATGCATCTTTTTTGCAATACTTTACATAAGTTTGCGTCAGTATGGTCTATCTGGATAGATATGATGTGCCCTTATATTACACTCTGTTGAGAATGTTGTACTTATCGTTCCTTGTGGGATATTTACTAGCTTGTTAAGTACCATAGGTGTATGGGTGATATATCCATCCAATAATGAAAATTAGCTTAGTGCTGTATATTGTTTTTTATTCATATATTTTTTTTCCTGTAATTTTAGTTTCGTTGACCTCAGTGACAGTTTGTCTCTATGTTGTTTTGTATTTGAAAAAAAAAATTATTAAAATAAAATGTGAATAAAAAAAAAAAGCAAACAACGCACTAAACAGTGTGATATTTTCTAAGAACCTGTTGGGGTACCTGCACATGGTACTGGTGTTTAAAAGAAAAGTATGACTTTTTTTTTCCTATTCATACTTACCTAGGTGGATGCAGCATTGGTCCAATGTTACATCTGTCCCCCACTGGCTCTAAGTGTGAGAACTCAGCGATCACATAACCACTGAGTTCTCCTCTCCGCTCTCAGTCACCGCTGTCTGCTCTCTCCCCCCAGCGCTCACTGGCACAATGGGCTGTGGAGGGGGAGGGAGCAGCTGGCTCAGGCTCTCAGCGCATTGCTGAGAGGCTAAGCCTGGTGATGTTGCAGACCTTGGGGTGGATCCCGACTTTGAAGTCGGGATCTTTCCCCAGCCTTGACCAGCTGAGTGATGTCAGCTGACAGCGTACTTCAGTCCGCTGTCAGCTGAAAACGGGTCACAGGAGTGTAGAACACACTGCACGCCTGTGATTCATAGGAGAAGTACAGTCAAAAGTGCATTAAAGATTAATATTTCTGGACAAAATTTTGGAAGTTTATTTTGCATGTATTTGAGGGTACATGCATACTAGGGATGCAGCAATACCTATTTTTTACCGGCGAGTATGAATACCGATACTTGTACTTGCCAGTTCCAATTACCGATACCTTTGTGGTGCGATTTGAACCCATACAAAATGAATGGGATCAAACCGCACTGCAAAGAATAGCATGCGATCTGAACAGGAATGCCTGTCCAAGTCACATGTGGTTTCTCTCTATGACAAGCCTGGGTTCACACAGGAGCAGTGCTGGAAACCGCATGTGATTCAGACAGGCATTGCACTGCATTCCTGTTCAAATTGCATGCTATTCTATTGTGCAAATGCTGGGCATCAGCACTGATATCAATACAGGTGCAACCCTAGTGCTTACACAAGTAAAATAAATTCTAACCTCTTCAAATTAACATTTTATGCATGTATTTGCATATACACATTCACGATTAAAATACTGACTGGCAACTCAAATATCTACATTTTTTTTTACTTATCTACATGTAACATATGTTTATGCTCCTGTATGTACAGGCACATTTAAAACACTGGGTCTCATTTAGATCAGCTATAAAAAAAAAATGACTGTATACCTCAAAACCTCAGCATTTTGGCAGCAGTGTGCAAAAGGTTTACCAGCCCTCAGGACTACCTGCCTGGAGTTTGCATGTTCTCCCTGTGCTTGCATTTCCTCCCACACTCCAAAGACATGCTGGTAGATTAATTGGCTTCTGTCTAAATTGGCCCTAGTATGTGTATGTATGAATGTGAGTTAAGGACCTTAGATTACATGCTCCTAGAGGGTTAGGAATTGACGTGAATGTACAATATATGTAAAACACTTTTTTTTTTAAGAATCCGCGGAGGCGAAAACAACAGAAACCCGTAAGTGAACAAAAAACATGCAAGTGCAACACAAACACAAAAAAGTGCACTTAGGGGTGTGCTTTAGTCCACCCCCCGAAGGGGTAGGACCTCTACCCTGATCCCCCGGGTTGCAAAGCTCCTGACAGGGACAAAGGTTTCCACATGGTCCACCTAGCCAAAAGGCCTGGCGGACCCCTTTCCTTGTGGCTAGCCATAGCCAACCACGAAGTACTAGGTCAGGGAGCTCTACCGAAGAAAGACTCCCCCAGGAACAGGGAAGGAAGGAACCTAATAGCCACGCATCCTCCCCCTAGCCTTCAGGGCAGGCCAGAAGACACACACCCTCCATCCTAGTGAGAAAAAAAAACACACACATAAGTGAAAGGTGACAAAAAAGTGGGAGAGAAAATAAATAAATAAGTAGCTGTCCAATTGTGCACTGGCTAGGCCCTGAGGCCCATAGCAAAAAAAAATGCCCTGGACTTAGCCAAAAGGCCTAGCCCTAAAAGGCGCATTGCAGAAAAAGTGTTCAGAACAGTGATCATGTGCACTTTTCACCCTTGGGATCCCACCCTGATGTGTTCCTAAAGCTGGCCATACACGTGTAGATTTTTGGACGAGAAAATTCTTTGAACATTCGGTGAATGGACGAATGTTGTTCGAAAATAGTCTTTTGCTTTTAACATTCAAATTTAAAATGAATGTAATTTCTGAACGATAACCATATACACTGGCAGAAAATTTGTTTGATCGAGAAAAGTTTTCCTTCCTGCCCCTTTGAATTTTCCCATCACTGCAGTCGAAAAGAAACATTGATTTGACCCCACTAATGATTAGAAAATCAAACAAATATTCTTGAAACAAAAATTCTTGAATGAAAATCTATATGTGCATGGCCAGCCTAAGTGCACCTGAGGGGACCACGTTCAGGGGGCACTGCTCCGCAGACTCTCTGCCTCCCCAGCCATACAAGGTAGACCCATTCATATCAGGAGGAACTGGGTCCCTCCAGTTTTCCCGGGGGAATTACTCCCGGGCCCCAACAGCCTGTGGGCGCCTTGGTTTCTCTTCCAGCAGGTACTGACCTTAACCCCTTCATGCCTAAGGGTAAAACAAATCTTAATGCCTAAGCACAATTTTGCAATGTTGACATGTGTTAGTAAAACCATCCATATCATCACAACTGCTTTGTACATCCAGGTGGATTATACCTTGTTTTTTTCAGGACAAATTGGGCTTTCATTTCGTGGTAAATGGTAATGGATATCTCCTGATTTTTTTTTATTATCAAAGGAAAACTGGCCCATATTAGTAAAAAAAAAAAGATATATTTTTTAAATATAGCTGTGTGTTTCTTGTTACTACCATAACCTACCACCAAAGATCAACCCAAAATAAATTTTCCAGCTCTTGACAATCTCAGCAATACCATATATGTGTACGTTATTTGTTGTTTGTACCTGTAGTACAGCCCAGAAACAATAGTTCGCATTTTGTTTTTTGTTTGCCTATAACACACTGACACTAATACCAATTTGAAAGGGAAAAAAAAAATCCTGACCTTTAACCCTGACTCAAACACTTACCCTGGCACTGAACTCGATCAAACCTTGATCTAGGTATTTTTTCTTTTATTTTTTAAAATTTATTTAACAAACATTTTTTTCCCCCTCTATGCCAGGAGTTAGAGAGATACAATGTATCACTCTCCTCCATTCATAGAGAGAGAGAGTAAAAAAAGGGGGTCGGGCTGTACAGTGACTGTGATAGTTAATCAGAGGCTATCACAGCGATCATGTGACCTGGAATCAGGAGTCCCGGGTCCTGATCGTTAGGACGGAACTCGGGGCTCTCAGTGACACTGCGGTCTTTGTGCTGGGAGCGCGCACTCCCAGCACAAAGATAGGTACACAAATACGAATCCCCACGGAAAAAAGCCCAGTTCTGTGAGGCCACATATTTGTGTTACGTCGGCATCAAGGGGTTATGAGCCCCAATCATACCAGGACTACTATACAGTCAGCACCCCTACTGGACACTGATAAGAACAGATACTATACTTGATCTGAGCCAAAAGGCCAAGCAGCAACATATGTAAACACTGGGCAGCACAATGGCTAAATGGTTAGCACTTCCACCTGGCAGTACTATGGTTGTTGGTTCGAATCCCAACCACAGCACCACCTGCCTGGAGTTCGCATGTTCTCCCTGTGCGGGTTTCCTCCCATACTCTAAAGACATGCTGGTAGGTGAATTGGCTCCTGTCTAAATTGGTCCTAATATGTGTATGTTTGAATGTGAGTTAGGGGCCTTAGACTGTACGCCCCTTGAGGGTTAGGGACTGATGTGAATGTACAATATATATGTAAAGCGCTGCGTAAATTGATGGCACTATATAAGTACATGAAATAAATATATTGATGGCACCATAGCAGCACCTGTAATAAATAACAGCATGCACGCCAGTGACCACACATTATCCAGAGTATAATGCACACTGATGGTGTGAATGGGCCTTTTACAAATTCCCATTCTATTCAAAATCTAAAAGAACGGAAAAGTTAGGCTCCAGATGCATGTAAGGCCTGGCCTGCCTGGACTCCAGGACTGTACACGAGGTAAGTACATGCCAACCTCGGAGCTCCATAGCCATGAATGATAACGGTTATTATGTAAATCTGCACCTAGGCTTCCAAAACATTTGTCACGTAAATAACTAAAAAAAAAAGCGCCAGTCAGTGCCAACCACAGGAGGAAGTTGTATGAGGAGAGCGGAAGTGACGCATGGCCGCCTCTTCCGCTCCCGTAACCTCGCCTCCTCCGAAGCTGGGAACTCGGAGAGGAAAATGGCCACTGTGGATTCAGAGCTGCGCGAGCCAGAGTAAGAGCCGGGGGAGCGGGAACGGTGCGGGGGGCTGGAGTGTTCGGTGCGGCCCGTGCTCTCCATCCTCCATATTGTGGATGGCAGTAGCTGTGTAGCCGTGGACGGGGAGGAGAGTGCAGAGGGCTCTACAGTTCACCTTCCCAGCTCTCCTGTACACGAGGGGGCGGCACACCGTATACAGGCGTCCCTCTATACATGACCTGACCCCGGACAGAGCTGGGAGGGGCTCAGTAGTGCCTACACCTGTCAATGGTGTCCCAGGTGGGGACTGTCACGTGGTCCTAGGGGAGCCCAGAGTACATGAGCTCTACATGGAAGTCAGCTTCTCTGCCTGCTCAGAACACATGTAAACAAGGCAGATCCCGGGGTAGGGAGGGGGCATTGTACATACATCTCCAGGAGGAGCATGGAGCTGCCAGGGAGAGATCACACACATGTATGTAATCATGGAGTGCCCACACAACAATAGTATGGACACCGTATGTGTGGCTCTAGAGGACAGATCTGATGCCAGAACAATGCAAAACATGTACAAGAATAGAAGTCAGGGCTGAATGTGATCATCTCCGGCAATGTGATGTCATCCTACTGCTGGAACATTGGTGCCTCCTGATTGGCTGATGTGGACTTCTTCAGCCGACACATTTCTATGTATCTTATTCCATCCTTTCTCCCTTCTTATAGGTTTGCTGGTTCAGCAGCTTCATGCCTAATAGTGGGGAGCTTGGTGAACAGTTGCTTCTTAAAGCAGAACTTTACCCATAACAACTTGATAAAGAATGTCCTTGAGCAAGGAGAATACATTCCACGTGAATAATTATACTACCAATGAGTGTGTGTTGAACTTGCCTCCAGCATTGCTCCTGTTTCTTCTTGCTGGAGGCTGCCCTTTTGCTGAAGCCCAGAACAGCAGTAAGTTCTGGTAAAGGGATGGACACTGTTCAACCGACCCCCAGGAGTCCAATGTTGAGGAATGGTCTCAGCTGCCGTTCTTTCCACGCCCACTGATGCATTTTGGCCCGCCCAACGGGGGGCGAGTTCACCTCTGTGACCAAGTCCTGGTGGGCTGGGTGAAACTTATCAGAGGGCGTGACCAGAACGGCGGCTGAGGCCATTCCTTAACATTGGACTCCTGGGTCGGTTGAGCAGCGTCCATCCCTTCACTTGCATTGGCTGACACTGGAATCGCTCGGACTCATGTTCCCCTCTTCTCACTTGCTGGTGGGGTGATCTTTTTACTTCCACAGCTTGGAGTGGCGCCATAAGGTATAATTTTCACACAGCGGTAAGTGCTGGTTCACATATATGTGATTTGAACCACATCCAATCTGCATGACATGTGAAATAACATTGCTTACTATGGTGCCTGTTCACATATGTCCTGTGCACTGGAGGTGCAGATTGTAAATAGTCCTGTCTGATTTCTGAGCAGTGTGGTCCGGTTCAGGTGTGGATTGCAGGCTATTGACTACTATGGGAACCATTTCTAAACTGCACATATGTGAACAGGATAAAATCCTGACCTAATCCTGTCCTGAACCTGATGTAAACCTGACTTGAACAACTACTGTGAAACCTGAGCTTCAGTCTGCACCGCACATGTGTGAACAGGATAAAATCCTGACCTAATCCTGTCCTGAACCCGATGTAAACCTGACTTGAACAACTACTGTGAAACCTGCGCTTCAGTCTGCACCACACATGTGTGAATCAGCTCTAAGGCTTCCTTCGCAGCATGCGTGTAGAAAAACTGATGGAAACTGACGCACAGGTTTCAGTTGCAGAGACATCAGTTTTCATGCGCGCTGCAATAAGTTTTACACACGTTACATATTTCTGTGCAGAAAAAAATCTGCATGTGATACTAGTGTTGTGGTGTGAACAGGGCACATAGAGAACAACTGATTTTGTTGTGCCCTTACAGAACACGTGAAGAAAAACTGACGTCTCTGCACCATGGTGTGAACGGCTCCTAAATCATAAAGTGGAACTAAACCCATTGATTTAATGCTTTCAAAAACAGTTACATTCCTGGAATTCTGAATGTCACATTTGCTTGTGTCTTCTATCAAACCGTCAAACCTTCAAATGTCTGGTGGAATCATAACTGATCACATTTGCAGCACCTTGGCAGTTACAGATCAAACAGAAGCACCTTTCTTGGCTGTAAGGGCTCGTTTCACACAATAGTGCAGAGATGTCAGTTTTTCAGCACGTGTTCTGCAAGGGCACAGCGAAATCAGTTGTTCTGTATATGCTCTGTTTACACCACAACACTAGTATCACGTGCAGATTTGTTTTTTTCTCTGCAGGAATCTGAAGTGTGTATAAAACTCATTAAAACACGCATGAAAACTGATGTCTGCAAGTGAATTCTGCATGTCAGTTTCCATACGTTTTCATGCACATACGGTATGAGTGAGCCCTATAGGATAGGAGGGTTTGATTCCGCTGTAAGCAGATCGGCCTCTACACCTTCGGCAGTACCTAAGAATGGAGAGCAAATGAGCATGTGCAGAGCAGGGTGAGACAGTGTATTACTGGTATGGACACTTAGTTTTAATGTTTTACATAGCTATACTTGTAAAAGGTGCCAGCCTGAAGTGGTCTAGCAGGACTTATTTTTCTGACTAAAGTTCCACTTTAAGCACTTGACCTCTGGAAGGTTTTACCCCCACTGTGGCCAGGGTATTTTTACTATTCAGCACTGCACTACTTTACTAGCAATTTCTGAGTCATGCAACACTGCACCCTAATGAAATTTATATAATTTATTTTACACGAATAGAGCTTTCTTTTGGTGGTTTTTGATCACTACTGGGGTTTTTTTTTATATTTTATTATATAAGCAAGGAACATTTTGGAAAATATATCCAATAAAATAAAATTTCTTAATAAATTTAGGCCATTCTACTACGTCTTTGTTAAAAAAAAAAAAAAAAAATCCCAATAACTGTATTAAATTGGTTTATGTGAAAGTTACAAATGATGGTATATATACTGGAATTTACGTAGCTATAGGCAGTGATGACTTATGGTGTGGGACAGTCTGGCGCTAACTGACACTGACATCGCTAATGACAAAAGTACAGTGATAATACTGTACTAATGACACTGGCTGGGAAAGGGTTAACTGTGTGCCTAGCCAGTGTAATGTGTGCTGCTTTTTCTCCTTGCTTTTCATGGAGAAGAAACAGCCGTGTGTTTGTAACTAGGGATGTACTGACATTTCGGCAACCGAAACATATCAGCAGAAAATAGCCCTATTGGCTATTACAGTGAGGAACAGAAGTATTTGAACACCCTGCGATTTTGCAAGTTCTCCCACTTAGAAATCATGGAGGGGTCTGAAATTCACACTGTAGGTACATTCCCACTCTGAGACAGAATTTAAAAACAAAATTCAGGAAATCACATTGTATGATTTTTAAAGAATTTATTTGTCTTGCACTGCTGAACATAAGTATTTGAACACCTGAGAAAATCAGTGTTAATATTTGGTACAGAAGCGTTTGTTTGCAATTACAGAGGTCAAACGTTTCCTGTAGTTCTTGACCAGGTTTGCACACACTGTAACAGGGATTTTGGCCCGCTCCTCCACATAGATCTCCTCTAGATCTGTTAGGTTTCGGGGCTGTCGCTGAGCAACACGGAGTTTCAGCTCCCTCCAAAGATGTTCTATTGGATTTAGGTCTGGAGACTGGCTAGGCCACTCCAGAACCTTGATATGCTTCTTACGGAGCCACTCCTCGGTTAACATGGCTGTGTGCTTCGGGTCGTTGTCATGTTGGAAGACCCAGCCACGACCCATCTTCAATGCTCTGACTGAGGGAAGGAGGTTGTTGCTCAAAATCTCACAATAAATGGCCCCCCATTCATCCTCTCCTTAATACAGTGCAGTCGTCCTGTCCCCTTCGCAGAAAAGCAACCCCAAAGCATGATGTTACCACCCCCATGCTTCACAGTAGGGATGGTGTTCTTGGGATGCAACTCATCCTTCTTTTTCCTCCAAACACGACGAGTGAAGTTTAGACCAAAAGGTTCTACTTTGGTCTCATCTGATCACATGACTTTCTCCCATGCCTCCTCTGGATCATCCAGATGGTCATTGGCAAACTTCAGACAGGCCTGGATATGTGATGACTTGAGCAGGGTAACCTTCCGTGCAATGCCTGATTTGAAACCATAACGGCATAGTGTTCTACCAACAGTGACCTTTGAAACTGTGGTCCCAGCTCTCTTCATGTCATTGACCAGCTCCTCCCTTGTAGTTCTGGGCTGATTCCTCACCTTTCTTATCATCAGTGATACCCCATGAGGTGAGATCTTGCATGGAGCCCCAGTCCGAGGGAAACTGACAGTCGTCTTTAGCCTCTTCCATTTTCTAACAATTGCTCCAACAGTTGATCTATTTTCACCAAGCTGCTTGGCAATTGCCCCGTAGCCCTTTCCAGCCTTGTGGAGGTCCACAATTTTGTCTCTGGTGTCCTTTGACAGCTCTTTGGTCTTGCCCATGGTAGTAGTTGGCGTCTGACTGACTGTGGGTGGACAGGTGTCTTTAAAGAGCTCAGACAGGTGCTACAAAGTTAGATTGAGTGGAGTAGAGGTGGACTTTTTAAAGGCACAGTAACAGGTCTTTGAGAACCATAATTCTTGCTGTTTCTTAGGTGTTCAAATACTTATGTTCAGCAGTGCAAGACAAATAAATTCTTTAAAAATCATACAATGTGATTTCCTGAATTTTTTTTTCTTTATTTTGTCTCTGAGTGGGAATGCACCTACAGTGTGAATTTCAGACCCCTCCATGATTTCTAAGTGGGAGAACTTGCAAAATCACAGGGTGTTCAAATACTTCTGTTCCTCACTGTATATCTGCTGATAGGAAAAATGTAGCCGGTACAGGGGACTGCGTGTACTGTAGATGTGATGGGGGCAGCGGAGAAAGGCAGGAGAAGAGGAGTGTATACAGTGACTGGCTGTCACTTTGTCAGTGCCAG